GGCATATATCCGGACACATCCTTTGACTTCTAGTTCAGTGAAATATCTCTTCTTGCGCTTCAAATAGTAGTGCTGTCCCCAGCTCCGATTTCGGTGATCGGCTAGTAAAAAAGGTTTGAGGGTATCATTTTGTTCCAGACACTCTCTAGAGTAAATTATCCTAACTTGAGTAAAAATGTGTGGTAAGTAAATTTGCTATGGGCAGTTAAAGAGGCGCCATCTATTCATTTTAAAACAGGGGGTAGGGGTATAAAATAATTTTTAACACATCTTAATAGTAAAATGACATTGAAATACTAATAAAATCTTATCAATAACATTATTTACAATCAGTATGAATTTTTTTGTGTGAATTAGGGTGAAAATAAGGGCATATTTTGAAATTCACTACAGGGGCGCCACCTATTTTCATACTTCTACCACGTGTAATAACTTATTTTAGATTCGTTAAGGTACGAAATGTACTGAAAAAATTCATTCTGAAGGACCCATATATGTTCATACCACATACTTAAAATTGGATCAATTGCTTATGTACTGGCGGAGAAAAAAATTATTGAAATTTAAAATTTTGGCATCATGCAGGATAGGGGTGACCATATCTCACATGATTAACTTCCAAAATATGGAGCATATGTATCTCAAATGTACTCAAAATGGTGTATGTACTCTTGCTTTGTCATAATATTACTAATAAGAAGTAGAAAAATGATTGTACATTTTAAAAAATATTAATTCTCATTTTGGCTTCTGACGTCCCAGGGGTGACCATATCTCACCTTAATAACTTCCAAAATATGGAGCATATGTATCTCAAATGTACTCAAAATGGTGTATGTACTCTTGCTTTGTCATAATATTACTAATAAGAAGTAGAAAAATGATTGTACATTTTAAAAAATATTGATTCTCATTTTGGCTTCTGACGTCCCAGGGGTGACCATATCTCACCTTAATAACTTCCAAAATATGGAGCTTATGTATCTCAAATGTACTCAAAATGGTGTTTGTACTCTTGATTTGTCATAATATTACTAATAAGAAGTAGAAAAATGATTGTACATTTTAGAAAATATTGATTCTCATTTTGGCTTCTGACGTCCCAGGGGTGACCATATCTCACCTTAATAACTTCCAAAATATGGAGCATATGTATCTCAAATGTACTAAAAATGGTGAATGTACTCTTGCTTTGTCATAATATTACTAATAAGAAGTAAAAAAAAATAATTGTACATTTAGAATAATATTGATTCTCATTTTGGCTTCTGACGTCCCAGGGGTGACCATATCTCACCTTAATAACTTCCAAAATATGGAGCATATGTATCTCAAATGTACTCAAAAAGGTGTATGTACTCTTGCTTTTTTATCATAATATTACTAATAAGAAGTAGAAAATGATTATACATTTCAAAAATTTTAATTTTAGCTTCTTACGTTCCTGGGTAATCATATCGCACCATATAATAATAATAATAACTTCTAAGATACTGTATGTAACATATAATCCTCATCCTGTCTTTTTCATATTACTAATGAAATGTAGAAAAATGTAGCATTTTTTTATAAATTTTAATTTTAGCCTCTGGTGTCCCAGGGGCTATCTCACCTTGATAACTCTCACGATATGCAACATATGCATCTCAAATGTGTGCTCAAAATGGTATAAATATAGTCTTGTTTTGTCATATTTATTGAGAATCATAAAATCAACAGTTCAGAATCAATGGATTTTGACTGTCTCCTCTACAGCTACATATAATTCAGGGCAAATAATATCTGCTTTCAAATATTTGCATCTGCTCCCCAAACACCCTTTACAAGTACAATGGATGAGATTATTCCCTTGCATACCTTGGATCCAACATCTTTTGTAATCCATACAGGAATCCTTTTAGCCTGTCAATAGTGGGAGTACTTTACTCCATTCATGAAGTAATGGCAACTGCTAATGTAAGGTGTTAATATGTTATCCTGTGGCCTGCAATATATGCACCTTGGATTATACACTGAATTAAGGGATTTTTAGTATGTAAAATACGGGAAAAGGAGCTCTTTGTAATGATAAATCTTTCTAGCCACATTAAAATTCACTAGTTTGCATGTTTGTCATACAACATACATTGATTGTAATGAAATATTAATCTATGATTGTGATGTCCCACACTTCTAGGGTCCCAAAGAAGAGCTGAGCTTTTGGAACAATTGCATTATTCTTGGCACGGTAGGCCATACAGTGAATACAACTGTTGAGATTGGGCAATAAAAATATAGCACAACATGACAAACCATGCAAACTAGAGAATGTCAATCAGGATTAGAAGCGACTTATCGCCCTTGTAATTTAGCAGTGGGACAGTTTGGTGTATGTTTGGGCATAAATGCGCCTTTTAGGCCTAATTTTTCAGGATATTTTCAAAATTTCGGGTCAGATTTGGGGTTAAGGGGCCAATTTTGGTAAATGAGGCTAGGCTACTCACACTACTGATAGGCTACCAGTATACAAAAGATGTTGCATCCAAGGCATGCAAAAGACTTATCGTCCATTGTTCCTGTAATATAAGGAGTGTTTGGGGAGAAGATGCAAATATTTGAAAGTAGATCTTAATGTCTCTGGACTATATGTAGCTGAAGCCTGCAGGGGAGACAGTCCAATCCATAAATTCTGAACTTCTGATTTCATGAATCTCAATAAATATGACAAAACAAGACTATATTTATACCATTTTGGGCACGCATTTGAGATGCATATGTTGCATATCGTGAGAGTTATATCAAGGTGAGATATAGTTGCCCCTGGGATGTCAGATTCGGATGCTAAAATGAAAATTTCAATTCAAAAAAGGTCTAATAATTTTTTCTACATCTCATGAATAATATTATGACAAAGCAAGACCATATGCCCCATTTTTGGTATATTTGAATTGTATATGTTACATAATTTTAGAAGTTATTGAGGGATGTCAGAAGCTAAAATTAAAATTTTTTGAATGTATAATCTTCTTATTAGTATAATATTATGACAAAGCAAGAGTACATACACCATTTTGAGTACATTTGAGATACATATGCTCCATATTTTGGAAGTTATTAAGGTGAGATATGGTCAGACCTGGGACGTCAGAAGCCAAATTGAGAATTAATATTTTTTAAAAATGTGCAATCATTTTCCTACATCTTATTAGTAATATTATGACAAGACACGACTATATACACCATTTTGAGTACATTTGAGATACATATGTTACATATTTTGGAAGTTATTAAGGTGAGATATGGTCAGTGGTCATCCCTGGAACGTCGGAAGCTAAAATGAAGATTAATATTTTTAAAATGTACAATCATTTCTCTATATCTTATAAGTAATATTATGACAAGGCAAGACTATATACACCATTTTGAGCACATTTGAGATACATAAGCTCCATATTTTGGAAGTTATTAAGGTGAGATATGGTGAGATATGGTCACCCCTGGAACGTCAGAAGCCAAAATGAGAATTAATATTTTTTAAATTGTACAATCATTTTTCTACTTCTTATTAGTAATATTATGACAAAGCAAGAGTACATACACCATTTTGAGTATATTTGAGATACAAATGCTCAATATTTTGGAAGTTATTAAGGTGAGATATGGTCACCCCTGGAACGTCAGAAGCCAAAATGAGAATCAATATTTTTTAAAATGTACAATCATTTTTCTACTTCTTATTAGTAATATTATGACATAGCAAGAGTACATACACCATTTTGAGCACAATTGAGATACATATGCTCCATATTTTGGAAGTTATTAAGGTGAGATATGGTCACCCCTGGGACGTCAGAAGCCAAAATGAGAATTAATATTTTTTAAAATTGTACAATCATTTTTCTACTTCTTATTAGTAATATTATGACAAAGCAAGAGTACATGCACCATTTTGAGTACATTTGAGATACATATGCTCCATATTTTGGAAGTTAATCATGTGAGATATGGTCACCCCTATCCTGCATGATGCCACAATTTTAAATTTCAAGAATTTTTTTCTCCCCAGGTAAAAAAGCTATTGATCCAATTTTAAGTATGTGGTATGAACATATATAGGTCCTTCAGAATGAATTTTTTCAGTACATTTCGTACCTTAACAAATCTAAAATAAGTTATTACACGTGGTAGAAGTATGAAAATAGGTGGCGCCCCTGTAGTGAATTTCAAAATATGCCCTTATTTTCACCCTAATTCACACAAAAAAATTCATACTGATTGTAAATAATGTTTTTGATAAGATTTTATTAGTATTTCAATGTCATTTTACTATTAAGATGTGTTAAAAATTATTTTATACCCCTACCCCCTGTTTTAAAATGAATAGATGGCGCCTCTTTAACTGCCCATAGCGAATTTACTTACCACACATTTTTACTCAAGTTAGGATAATTTACTCTAGAGAGTGTCTGGAACAAAATGATACCCTCAAACCTTTTTTACTAGCCGATCACCGAAATCGGAGCTGGGGACAGCACTATAGTATTTTCTTTTACTGGACATATTTTAGTTTGCATAACTATTAGATACATACGGGTGATATGGAAATTGAACTACTAAAACAGATGTAATTTAAATCAAAGGGGACTTTCTACTATACCCGCCATGCTATCTAACCCGAACGAACCACCTGGTGGTGAAACTGGTAACTTACTCGCATTTGCGTTATTAACATTGCACAACCGGTGTAAACTTTAAGACTGCGTTTTGAACTGCCCGCGGCGCAAGTATATTGCATTATATTTAATAAGTTTTCCCTCTAGGTATCAGGAAAAATAACAATGAGCCCATGCGTTGCAAATTACATGCATGCTCACACGTTTTCAACAAAAGCAGTTCATCCAAGCGCACTTAAACCGCTAATTACGCTGTGGCAACTTTGGCGGCTGCTCGCACGCACGCACCACGGGCTTACAAAAAACAGTCTGATGAAACAAAAATTGAATCAACATTAGATAACTTACTCTCTTTTGCAGCGGCTGCATCGTAGAAACTTGAGAAGGCATGGCACCACCGGGAAAAGGCATTATTTGATCCAACACATAGTTCGCTGAAGTCCATTGCGGCTAGTGGGGTTAACTGTACCAGCAGGAATAGCAACACGTTCATTTTCAAGATGGTGTTTTTCAGTATGGAATGTATAAGCCTGCAATTACAATTTAATTAAACATTTTAAAGTACTGCATTGTCTTGCTATATCTAACCAAGGAAGAAAGTAATAATGACAAAAACAACAGAAACGAAACTATGCCAAGCTATAGAATCAACCTTCAAAAACGTGTCAAATCCCAATTTGTAAAACATAGGATTCAATACCTTGAACCAAGGAAAATCATAAGATTGAAACTGGATAAATGAATTAATATTTAGGAAATGAGAAAAACGATAACAAGGAGGATAAGTTGATAGATCTCAAAGGCTTTCAGTTCAACTCTGATCATTGTAACGACTCATTATTTAAAACAATTGGCACTAATTTGCCCTAAATTGAACCAGATTTTAGTAATTGGAACACGAGTGGTTTCCCAGGAGTAACACATTTTCTTTCTGTCATATAAGATTTTTTTGTGATAGGATCCATTGTTTCCAGCATAGTTTTGGTCATTGAAAATGGATATCTTCAAAACTTGACTTTCAATACCATTCTATTTTTGAAGAAGTTTTAGACCCCTTGTTGAATAATCGTTTCATGCAATAAAAAACAGAAAAAGAAGATCTTCTTTTGAGTAAATAGGTTTAAAATTTTGAAAACATCTTGACATGGGGTCCCTATTAATATTTTTTTGAATTGTTCGATTGACATATTTTTTTGTCATTATGGGTACTTCACTTGAAAGAAAGCATATTGTTTTTATAAAAACCACTGTATCTATGTATACCCAGAAAGTACTCATGGTGTAAGAATGCATACTGCACATGGACCTTTATCGTACGACCAAATGATAGATAATTGAACAAATAATGCACACTTACGCATATTTCACATTGGTTTAAAAGAATTACCAAGTCCAGAGGAGAAACAAATTCAGATTTTGGAACTCCAGCGACTGTATGAAAATTCAATATTTCAATCATTATAACTAAACATTCATTATTCTACTATATCCGTCTTCTACCACGCATCAATAAAATCAATTGCAAAAATAAACACTATTGTCGATTGTTTTAATTTTTTCTCAAATATGCAAATGGATTAATAGATTCAATGTTCATACTAGCATTTGGAACGATTGTAACTCACGATCCCGAGAAAACCATTGTCTACATTTTGACGAACGATGACAGGTCGTAAGTTAGGACGTTTCCAAAAACGGAAATATGTTTGTTTGGATAAACAAAAAAGCCCCGTAGAATCAGACAGATGTATTCTCAATTGTGATTATTTCCTAATCTCGAAGACAAATGTAGCATCGACATCCATCCATTATCACCAAAAAATTACATGTATATTTAGATATGTTATTCAACACTAATTTCAAAATGAATTTATCAACTTGAAACTGCCACTCCTCGGAGTAGCAAATCCGACCGAATAAAACATACGCATTTGATAAATAGCCGCCATCTTGGAAATCTATCGTTATGACTTCAGTATAAATGAGATGTCCCTTGGTGTTCTGGTTCTGGGTTGTGATATTGGTTCTCGATTGAATGGGGGAAATGCGGTTGTTAGACATTATTTCTTTTTGCGTTAGATCATGGTTTTGGGATATATAGGGTCTATTTTTCTTATGACAGGTTCACAATTCGAGTTTTCTTTTCTTACGAGGTTTCTTTACAGTTTTTAGTCCTTTCTCTTTTTGGCATTTACGGTTATATATTCAAAATATAGCTTCTTCGTCTCAGCATATAAGATATCATCGAAATACGTCCACTGGTATTTGAGTAATTAAAGATTATGTCTTTTACGAAATAATAGCGGCCATTTTGAAATTCAGCAGCCATCTTAAAAATATTTTCTTTTGCATAGCTCATTTGTCCCTTGGCATCATCGTATAAATTTTGAACGAAATCCACCAACTATTTGAGTTATCAAAGACTATTTTTTACGATTTATGGCGGTCATTTTGAATTGAACGGCAATATTAGAAAAATCCTTCTCGGGCAGAGGCCCGATACTAATAAAGTATTAACCTATTAAAAATTGAATCAAATCCGTTGAGGGGTATTTGAGTTTTCGCTCGGGCAGACGAACGAACGAGCGAACAAACGAACGAACCGACAGACGGAGGGACGATCGGGTGGCTTTTCTATATACCCCCCCCCCCCAACTTACTTCGGTGGGATAATAACGCTAAATGTTCTTGTGTATTTGGTAAGCGAGTTTAGATATATTATTGAAATAGTATTTTAACACGTTTACGACAGAATTCCCTAGATTGAATGAAAACGTGAATTCCCCAACTCGTTAACGCAAAGTAATATCATGATTCGTATTTTCATGTCTTCCACAATCCACAAATTCGAGAAGATTCGATCTTATTTGACAAAGCTATTGCGAAAATATTTTTTGTGAAACTCTGTAACAAGCGCATTTGGGACCACCGGGTATACAAACATCTCTACAGAGAGTAGATCTCACTTATGAGTAATTGATCCATCACTAATGAAATAGCATAATTTGCATTTTATATAGTTTGCCTAACTCATCTTAGAGCGATAAGAAATTTCAAAGGGACAATTTCCTCAATTCGATTCATTTCAATCCCATTGTGTATTTGTATTTGCTAAATCTGTTTACTGTTTTTATATAGCAATGATCGAAATGCGTTGTAGCCCATTGATGAGCCATGGAGAACAAATTAAATCATACATTCGAACTCAATCAACTGTTGTGTTTATTCTAACCAATTTGTAAATAGCTCTTTGAGCTTTGACTGGCATTACACATGCACCTAAATTACTTTCAAATATGAGTCTAGGATTTAATAGATTCTCGGTGGGCGTAACAACTCGGAACAGTAGACTCAGGTCGCACTAGAATCCTTCATCGAGGGCTATCGTCCTATTTGTATTCTCAAAGAAAACCATTGCATTGAAGTGTTGCATGTCAAACGCCGAGTTCGCTACTTTAACAAGTGACAAAAATGTTCATATGTCCCATGGCATTTCCATAATGAAAAGAACTATTAGAAAGTGAGAAGAAAACCAGGAACTACTTTTATGCTGCACGTATGATGGTGTAACAAAAATACGTTCGCTGAATTTGCGGATCCCAGGTTGAGTGTATTTAAGCTAAAATACATTTCATGTATTAGTATATCATAAAATATCATAGTGATTTACATCAAAATGATTTACATTATGGGAGAATAACGGCAACAGGTAATTTGTGCATCATAATAATTGTTTTCCAATTTCCTCAACATATCCTTGATGTGCCATTAATTATAAATATGAACGAGGGGTTATCAATAAGTTATAATAGTTTCTACACATAGTCTCACACATGCTTGCGTTTGTTTTGACATTATATACCCCTGAAGAACCCATCAAGGGAAAAATCAATACCCGGGAAGTTACATTTCGTTTAGTGCAGTGAGCTGCGCGTGCAAGAGGTACTGCACGAAACGACAAATCCCCTGGTATTGTAATGCCCTTGAACCAATCAAGCAGAGTGAAATGGGTTACGATTTTTTCACCAGCCAGTTAATTAAGATATGATTAAAAAAGGCAGATGATAGACGTTACTTTGGAAAATATAATTCTATAATAAGATTACCTTCCTTTTTACATTTCTAATACCCTTTGCATTCGTTCGACTTCACTTCTAGAAAGAGAGCTTCTTCACTCTTTCAGTTTGCAATAAATCTCTGAACTCACCGAGCGAATCAGAGTACGGTCATTTTCTCTGACGTAATCGCATAATTATTGTGCACGCATTAAGCACTTGTTCCTTCCAGCTTGCCGATTGGTTGAGAATAGATCAGCGAGGTATGTGAAATGATTTATGACCCGATTTTTATCACGGGCATCGGTCGTAGGGGCGGGGCTGCTAAACTGTAATTTAGTCTATACTAGGCAGAGGGTAGTTCATAACTAGACTCTGCGAGCAGGGTACATTTTTAATGTTCATCCGATTAAAATACAACAATACTTGATTTGTAGACTTGAAGCTTTTTACTAAGTGTCTCTATCTTGACCTGGAATATAAACTTTGATAAAATGTAGATTTCAAGATTAAATAAACCATTCGGAAAATAGAGTCACACGAGGCTCTACAGATCTCATATATTCACTCTTTATCGAAAAGGGATCATAGATGAAAGTGTAATTGGGGTTTCACATGTTGAAACTGACGAATTGAACGCGCGGGGGACTTTTGGAATTGATGTTGAATAATGCATGAGCTCGAAAGGATTTCAGAAGACTCTAAAACAGTCATTCAATGCATTAGTCAAAACTGACAAATTCCATCAGGAAATGGGACATCAAATTTACTTAATTAAAAATAGAGCACTTTAAGTACTTGCATTCTGGTTGGATAAATCTCAACTTGGGCCAATACTATTTAATTTTGTTGTCTGCTCAAGTGACACTCCTTTCATAAATATAGAACTCAAGTTTTCGAAATAAAGAGAATGTGTTCAAATTTTGCGTTTAACAATTTTACAAATTCATTCAAGTTCCGAAATAAACACATGCACTTTTACATATTTCACAAGATTGGCCCTCTACAGGAGTGACTATTAAAAATGAAGGATATGAAAGTTGCCAAAGGAGAAAAAATCTGACCATCATGTGCACATAGTGAGATGAAAAGAATTTTAGAATTTTGTAATTGAAAAACAAAAAGTTCAGGCCATGTAAGAAATTATTAAATTTCGATTAAATCGAGTAAAAATATTTATAATCTTCACTCTCAGTTAGGTTTTTATGACTTATACTCTTCTTTTTAAAAAAAAACAACAACATGAAAATCTATGGTCACTTTTTTTTATCATATTAAACACTAGTTTTGTTTTCCGTTTTAAGGAAACAAAAAAAGGTTCACAGAAATATAACCAACACAAAAACGTTATTGAAAAAGTTATGTACATAAACAAAGGGTAACTTGTAAATTAAATCACTTTTTTTATTTACCTTTGAAGACGTTGTGTCCTCGTGTAATGTTATGTGGTATCTATCTGGTTCCTTTTAAGGTTG